GTGGGGAAGAGGGCATCTCTGCAGGAGTGTAGAGATGGGGAAGATGTTGTCATAATGGCAGGCTGAGCTGCTGAGCCTTGTGCTCTATTACATCTTGGTGAAGTGAATTGATTCTACCCAAATGTCCACATCTAGTAGATAAGCAATTGGTGGTGACTGAGGGTGGCTTTATTTTAAATTCATTATCTAAGCTTTGTGGCTAATGAAGTTAAACAGAATACATTTACTTCTCTTTCCTAATAAGAATCAAGTGTGCTCTGCAGCAGCTTGTGGGCCACGCTTTTTATCCATGACCCGTGCATCCAGCCCTCAGTACAAGGGAGAATTGTTCTTTCCATTATGGCTTTATATTGCCAATCTGATACAATATTTAAACAGATTATCTCAATGCTCTGTTTGTTCCAAACCAATTTTTGCTTTGGCCTGTAAAGCGAATCTTCCTTTCAGTGGCTTCTGTGGTACAGGATGTAGTTACATGCATCAGCTAGTTGAAGAGACCCATATACAGCATGAATAAACCCACAAAACCCTTAGCTAGGACTATAAATGTCACTGTATTTTTATATATGTAGGATTTTTTTTTTTTTGAGAGAGAGAATAGGATTACTGCATGCAGCTATAATTGAAAGTCCTTTGATAATTTGGTGGGTATTTTAAACCTAGCAATGATATACTTTCATAAAACCACACATCCCTGTTTTCTGAAGGATGCTAATAAGATGGTTAGCTTTGCTTTCATGCTCAATGTGTTCATGAGTGCTCTTACCCATTTAGTTGCATCTTCGAATTTAATGCCCCACTCTGATTTCATAGTAATTGTCAGGAGTCTCTTTTTCTTTATTGTATGTCCCCGCTCACTGTCTGGAAAATACAGTCTCCTCATTGCTGACCCCATCAGTCTGTCTCCTCACGGTGCTTGTAAAGAAAACCCTCTCCACCAAGGACAAAGATGTTTTTAAACAAGTCAATCTGATATAAGACATAGTTTGCTTAACCTAGAGGTGACCAAGAAGCGGATGCTGGCTGACTGTGCCCAGCCTTGAGCTGCTCTGTCTGGCTGCCCTTCTCCAAAGGCTGCACACGCTGCCATGCTGTGCTGTTCATTATCTGAGCAGCATCTGCAGTTCCCTTCTCTGTTACAGATGCCGCAGTCTGCTTAGTTTTGTGCAGCTGACACGCTGCCCTTACACTCCTGTGAGGCGTCTCTGTGGCTCCTCAGCCAGCTCACATCTACCCTGGCCTGCTCAAGACTTGTCCTGCTTCTCACCCCGGACACTCCAGTGAGCAAGTGCCACTGGCCTGGCTGCTATGCAGGCATCCTGGGAATCCTCTCTTCTCACTACTGGCTAAGTCCCAGCATGAGACATTTCTTACCTGCCCTGCTTCAAAAATCTGCTCTTCCTCCTCTGTTGTTTCGGTGCATCCTCTTTGCACCAGATCTTCCCATTTCATGGCTTTTTACCTGACAACTCCCATCAATAACAAGGCACTGCTTTTCTGACTCTCCTCAGCCCATTAGTTTCAGCATTGTGTTTGCCAGCAGAGGAGTGCTTGTCCATCAGTGTGTGTGCAACAGGGGTTGCTTGTCCCACATCGTGGTGGCATGCAGCAGGGAACTCTGCTGAGATATTTTTTCCAGTCTACTAAGCTGTCAGGAAATGCCTTCTGTCTTTCTAGCCAGTGTGCTCACAAGATCAATTAAAAAAAATTAAAAAGAAAAAAAAAGAGATATGCATCTGCACTGGCTTTCTTTAGTTTTAAATCTTTGCTAACTACAGGGAGAATGCTAGATTCATATTTTAAATACTATTTACAAAATAGTAACAGTCACAGAACCAATACTATTGTTTGGCTCTTGATTTAAGTTGTATATACAGACCATGTAACCTATGCTGGCAGCTACTGAAATAAAGTCCACTTCTCTATGTTGGCTTGCTTGTCTTCCAGCCTTTTAAATCAGCTTACTTTATACCTTAGAGAATACTTTTATTTCTATATATATCTTCTCTTCTATTGGCTACCCCGATAATCCTGTGATCAGCCATGCAGCAGTGTCACTTGAGTAGAATATGGAACGATGCTGATCGTTTTCTCATAGGCTGTCATACTAGCCCAGAAATAGCATCCATCTACAATGGGAGAAGCTCTATTAACATTTACAACTGTTCCTCTTCCCGACCCTCGAGAATTGCTCCGTGGTAGATAAGCAATACTTTGTAATACATTTCTTTGCGCTCAGTATTTTGGAGTTGAATTCTGAAATATAAAGGCACCTAATCCTGATCTGCTCTGGGATACACTGCTCTGCTCTTAGCAAGTGGAGCTGTGAATAGGATTAGCATTTCAACAGCTTCTTTTTTTAACTGTGAGCAATAAACTAAAATAATAGGGCCTGATTCAGAGCTCTCCAAAGTCGGCAGTAGTGCTTTGGCTGATGTACATTGGCTTTGGGTCAGGCCCATAAGAATGGGAAATTCAGTGTTTCCCTAGAAAGGAAGGAGAATGTGTGAATTTTAGAGTTCCTGCTCCTGTGGAGTCTGTCCACACTGAGCTGAAATCCACAAATTTACAAGCCAACAAACACAACTGTAAATTTGATGGCAGGTGAAAAGAAAATGTGTTGCTAGTCATGCAGTTAAAACTTGTGCTTTTTAATGATGTCAAGGGCACTTAGGACATGCATATAAACAAGTAACCACTAGAGGTATTTTTGCTGCTGTTCCTTTTCTCTTTCCTCAGACGTGTGGAAGTGCAGACCATCATCAGGGCAGAACATGGGTTGGGCACTGTGGCCAGGGAGATGAGCTGTTGGGCTGGCAGGGCTTGCAGTGACTGGCTGCACTGAACACAGCCGTTTGAATTCATTAGCCATGGGCCCATGGGTGAGAGCCAGCTGTGAGCATCTGGCCCTCAGGGTCCTGCACATGGTGTTACAGGCCTGTACACTTCAACTAAAAGCTGGGGATTTACTGTGCCTGTGCCAGTGCCTGTACTGAGCAGGCATAGCACCCTCTACCAAGCAGAGCCCATTTGTAATTCACAGCTCTTGAGCCGGGCCTGAATTCTCAGTGTTTTACCTGTCTGTCACCTACGAAATAGGTGATACCTTGAGCCTGCTTATTGGGCAGTGAGATTGCAGTTTTGCTGTTGCTTGCACAAGCTCTGAATTTCTGAACCTCAGCTTTCCACAGTGCTTTTTAAAAGCACAGCAACAGTGGCAATCCTGCAGCTTTCTACACATACCTTTTGAACCCAGTTTTACTAACTTCCTTCTCTCCTCCTTGTTTTTTACATATCACACATGTATTTTGAGCTGTAGCTGGTAATTTAACAGAAACCCATTAAATTACTCTGAAATCAAAAATGCTTACAGGGGTGGATCAGATGTCACATGCATTTGAATCTCTGAGCGTTACTAAAAGCTTTAGCATCACGACCTGTAGTGCTGAGTCCTTCCCAAAGCACTCCCACCTGGGAGCAGGGAGGTGAGCAGTCAGAAGCAGCAATTGCAGAATGGCTGAGGTTGGGAGTGGGCAGAAGGACACTGCTGGAGACAGGGGATGCGTTGCAGCGGTGAGAGTTGTACTGCGACGTGCAGCTCTTTATCCTGAGGACAAATTTCTGATTGCCACGATCTGGAAGGCATCGGAGCAACCTTCAAGGCTCAAATAGTCCTTGGCTCTCAGCAGGAATATTTAGAGGGTTTAGTTCCTCATAGCAACAAAGCACTTCAAGACATTTAACTGATTACACCTTGCAGGTTGACAAGAAGCATTTTCTCCATTTTGCTATTGGGAGAACAAAAAGGCTTGAGATATGGGCCCCATGGGCTCAGGTTTCTGCTGATATTTGAAATTTCTTCCTGGCTCTTGGTTTTAGTGGGCTTCAGCAAGGGAATTGTCTTGGAGAGATGGAACAGGAATGCTGAGGGCTTCAGAAGGGGCTGTAGGTGTATTTCTTTCCTGGATTTTCTCAGGTGAATTAGTAGCAAGAGCACCTGTGTCCACAGGCAGGGTCTCAGTGTGGTGTGTGCTTCTTGGGCTCTGAGGAGGAGTCCCTGACATGCGGGGGCTGCAGAATAGTGTGGCAGCGTGCCAAAGACACAGAGGCATTCCTGGTGTCACAGTCTGCTCCTGTGCCCTTGGCTGCAACTGTCCCTCTCCTGTGGGGTGGGGTGGGGTGGGCAGTGAGAGGCAGGTGGAAATTGGGTGATTTGCATCTCTTGGATACCTGCCAGGATCCAGAATATTTTTCCAGCCATTTTAGAGAGGTGCTGGTCTCTGACTGATGGCACTGACAAAAGCTTGGGTGTGCTGCTGTAAGGTACATGTTTGTAAATGAGCTGACCTGCATATTCTGTTTCCTAATCCTGAGTGATACTGTCAGCTCAGAGAGCTGAGCCTGGGTAATGACTGGAATCCACTGTGCTTTTCTTAGTGAGGATGTGTGGTAATCTGAGGTAGTTAAGTGCTACATCCTGAGAATCAGAACTGCACATGCCCCATGGGTTCCGCATGTTTTAGACAGATAAATGGGGTTTGAGATGACCAGGGTAGTTACTATGAGAAGAACCAATGTCAGGTACATAGTAACCTGCAGTTACCTAGGAGGCAAACGAATTAATGGGGTTTTCCCTCTGATAAAGGTAATGAAGAGCTGCAAGGACATGGTGTGCAGTTTCTGCACAGCGAATGCATAGGCACTGTCTCCCTGGCACAGGGAATGCCAAACAGCTGTGTGACAAGAGCAGTGCAGCCGGCAGGGCACCCCACTGCGTGACATTTGTGCTGTCTGAGACCTTGTTGATACTCTGAGATGGAAGAAAATGGGGCAAAGGGAGGAGTGGGAAATGAAATGGGAATAGGGACTGCAGAAAGGTATTCAGGGTGTCTTGGGACCCACCACCAGACAGAATCCATTTCCAGGGAAGAGGGCATAACATTGTGGGGGACGAGAGTTGGAGCGGGAAGTAACAGCTATGGTCTCTCTTGTGCATTTAGGGTTTACTGTCAATCCTGCGCAAACTAAAAAGCACCCCAGACCAGGAGGTGAGAATCCTCCTCTTGGGACTGGATAATGCAGGCAAGACCACGCTCCTGAAACAGCTGGCATCAGAGGACATCAGCCACATCACCCCAACACAGGTGAGGAAGGCCTTTCCTTCTTGAGGCAGTTACTCTGGTCCCACCTGGCACGTAATACAAAGCACTCATGATTCATCAGAGTCTTTCAGTAAAAGGAGGAGCAACTGGAGCCTGGTGCACCATTGAGTTTGTGTCTTTTCTGCCTAAGAGGAGGCTTCCTGAAGGAGCCAGAGAGCTTCAGGCCAGATTGGTCAGGTAGTGCAAAAGTGGATGAGTGCTGTGGAGTTCTGCAAAAGGCTTTGGAGTCATGCTATGATTGCATGGATGAGACTTTGTTCCTGTTGTCCTTGCTAAACAGGGACATGTAGAGTGGATACTGCAGCACTGGACAAACCCTTGTCTGCTTGCATCTTTCACCCAACCAGCTCCAAGGGTTCTGCGTATACCAGTGCTCCTCTCTAATGTCTCTCATGCCCTTTTGTTGAGCTTTGGGGCTGGAGGAGAGGGATAGCTCCCATCAGAAGCACTGCAGCATTGCTCCAGAGGAGGTTGCTAGAGAGCTATGGGAGATGCTCCCCCCCACCCCGTAACTGCCTCCCAAAGCTCCCAGCCTTGGCACCCTAATTCCAAGCCTTGGTCCCCTGGGTGGTGTGGCAGCGTGTTGCCAGCCCACACCACATCCTGTTTTTCTACTTGAATGCACTTTCAGTTGGTGCTCTAATTGATGAAATGGACCCTTCAGACGTGCAGCTGTTGCTCTTTTAAGCCCAGCATTAGCTGTGTCGTGTCGAATTGAGCTGAGACCTCTGGCTTCATATTAGTTGTGACTGTCTACTCAGCTTTCACAAGCTCAATCTTGCTTCTCACAGTGCCCTTGTTTTCTCCTTATCTGCAGCTCTCCCACTTCTTCCTGCACCCACCCTACTGAGCTCTCTCAGGGCACTAACTGCATCATATGTCTCCATAGGCATGACAGCATCAACCCTTGACCCAAGAGCACTGACAAACTGATGGTTTAGCAGCTGCTTTTGCTGGTGCCTGTCCCACAGCTGATCCATCTTTGTGGCTGCCCAGCCCATCTCACTGCACACTGCAGGCATGGGATATATAAGGTGTTAACGTCTGGCTACCAATATGCTCCAGCCATTCAGGTTTATGCTCTGTGTGGCTTTGTTTCTGCTCTTTCCAGGGCTTCAACATCAAAAGTGTACAGTCTCAAGGCTTCAAACTGAACGTATGGGACATAGGCGGACAGAGGAAGATCAGACCATACTGGAGGAACTATTTTGAAAACACTGATATCCTTGTGAGTATTGGCTGCAGCTGAATGCTGTGTTCATGCAATGGCTTTCCAAGGTCTCAGCCAGAAATTCAGAAACAAGTAATGTAATGTCCCAGCCCTCAGCAACACCATTGCCATTGTAACAGGAGTTATTCTGAGCTAAATGGCAAGATTGGTTGAGTGCAGTAAGAAAAATACAGTTATGTTTGCAGAAATTATTCAGTTGCATGTTTTTACTTTCACAGGATGGTGCTGTTTATAGCCAGTTCCTTTCCTCTCATCTCAGTCTCTTTCAAATGAAAGAACATTAATAATGTGTACTTTATCCATCTATAGCTCCTTTCACTGGAGGCTCTGAAGGCCTGTCATGCATTAGTGACTTAAGCATCATGTGTAGAGGTAGGTCAGTATGGTGCCCTTGTTTTATAGGTAGGGAAACTGAGGCATAAGAATTAAATGCTCTGTCTGGCATCAGATTGGAAAGCTTCTGAGTGAGGAACACAGAGAGACCCCTTGTCTTTTTCTCCTTTAGTCATAAGACTGTCTTTTAATGGTTTCGACAACTTAGCTGTAATTACCTTACAATTAGCTACAGATGACCACAATTATATTTACAGTGCAGGACCTTTGTTTTTCCATGCCAGAACAGATTGCCCTGGGATCCTCCAGGTGCTGTCTTGGCTAGTTTCAAAGATCACCTCTAGCATGCAGCCACACATGCCAGGATGAAGGCAGACTGGGGGCTGCTGGCCTCTCTCTGCCCCAAGCACTATTGCCTGTGGGAACAAAGGAACACCAAGGTCTGTAGGCTCCCATGGGAAAGTAGGAAGCTCTCTCAGAAAGACGCCATTCCTCCCTCCTGTCACACACATGCTCAGGAATGTGTCAGGAGCTTCAGTGCACTTGCACGGAAGGATCAGTGCAACTAGGAATAGGGTTCTGTTCACCAAGGCTCGTGTCCAGTTGCTGAACAGCCTGGCTGTGCCTGCAGGCTTAGAAAACATTGTCCAAATGAAGCTGTTGTTTAAATGTGACTAATAAACCCTTGATACGCTCTTTAGCCTGTCTTCAGTTTTGAGCCTTAATTTGGAGTCTAAAGTTCAAGGACAGCCATCACTGCATAAACCCGGTTGGTTGCTTTTGTAAAGAGGAACTGTGAGATTTTCCATGGGGTAAGATCTGGGTTTGAGAAACGAGCAGGACACACACTGTGCTCCTCTGTGGCTGTTGAGGACAGAGACGTGGTGTGGCTGTGAGGTGACTGTGCCCACTGAGCCCAGGCTCTGGCTGTGGGTGGTGGGGAGGCAGTAAGTGTGCAGATCAAGTGCAGCCCTGCAAAGCAACAGCATTGGGATCTCTGCCTGCTGTGGCAGGTGCTCAGGCTGAAGAGGCTGTGCAACCACAAAACAATATCTGGAAGACTCTGCTGGCAAAGACAAAAAACTACACTGGCCTGTGGGCTTCCACCCTTCCTAGTGTGCGCTGCATGGGAGGTGTAGAAATAAAGGTGAATTTGAAGACTGAAGGAGATGAAAGCAGTTGTTTTCCCTGCCCCTCTCTCACCCCAGTTAAAGCAATGTACAGAGAAACCCCTTCTTTTCATATGACTAAGAAAATGGGCAGGTATAAGCAGAATCAGTGGGGAAAGCAGCAGTGTGAATTCAGAGAAATAGCTGGTGCACAGATGGACTTGAGTTCCCCTGGGTGCACTTCATGCTGACACCCAGTCCCAAACTGGGAGATGTTGGCATGTTGGGGCAGTGCTTTGCTATTTCCATACACACCAAAACTGGGATCACGTATATGCTGATGGCTCGCTCTGTCTTCTGCCAGTCCTTACCCCTGTTTTAGCCAGTATTTTTACCCTCTGACAAACCTGGTGCAGATTGTGCATTTACAAATTGAGCCAATTTATCATGCTATTTCTTCATCTAGTCCCACCACTTGCAATTTCTGCCCAACCCATTTTTTCCAGGTTGTGTTTTGGCTTGTTTCTCAAAGGAGGTACCCAGCTTTACAAGAATTTCTTTCTCAAATCTCCATTCTCCAGCCTGGTGTTCCAATTGGTAAGCTGTGTTACCAAGCGCCACAGGCAAAGCCAGGCTCTTGTGTGGCCTTGGCCATAAAAGGAAGTTGGACATGAGATACACTACAGTTCCCAGGACCCCCTGCTTCTCTCTTCCCCTAAACTGCATTGCATAAAGCAGAAAGGACCCTCTAAAGAGTATTAAAAAGCAGGAAGTAATTACAAATTCAAATCCATGCAGGTGCCTTTGAATAAGAGCTTGGTCTTGCATCACACACCTGTGATATTTGGAAGCTTAACGCAGGCAAATAAGGTGTGGATATCTGGCTGATTGCATATTCAGACAGGCACCTGCAGCTATTTGGCACAGTGCTTGCTGGTTTGGAAGTAGGCACTCGGCACATGCTTTCTCTGTGCTGTGCTTTTGTGGCTTTTGCCCCAAGCACTGTTGTATCTAGTTCTCATCTTGCAAAACAGCTCCCTAGTGAGGAATGAGAGGTGCAGGAGAAAGCCTGGCTGGATGGGACCCAGAGCTATTCCTTCCCAGTTAGAGAAGCACTGTAATATGGAAGATGCTGCCTTCCAGTTCACAAGCAGCACTCGACCATTGCATTCATGTGTTGTGGACTTCCCCAGAGATGTCCCGAGGGAGGACAGATGACGGTCCAGTCTCACCCCAGAACACACCTGCCAGCCCTGCAGCTTCTTCCTTTCTTTTGCTCTGTGTTTCCTACCCTAAATGGGATGCATAGGGGTGGATGCTTGGTAGGGGCGGGGAGGACGTGTGTAGCTGATCCAGTATTGGTGCACGTGCTTGGGATCACGCTGCGGGGAGAGGCCCGTGTGTCGTGCCCACAGGCTGGTCCCCATCACGCGGCACTGGGTGCGTGCTCTGCTGACGCATCCCCACGCAGCTGCGTCCAGCCCTGCCGCGTGTCCCCCAGCCCCTGTCAGCGCACATCAGCCCCAAGTGATCTGCAGAGCGCCTGGGAGGTTGCTGGGTTACCTCCTCAGGCCTCGCATACAGATTTTCCTGCTGTGTGTTTGGTCCCATTTCAAACAACTCAAATGCTGCTCATTAAGAGTATCTATCGTTTAATAGATATTGCTGCTAGAGATCTTCCCTTCTCCTACTATTTGATCAAAATTATCCTGGAAGCATGGAATCTTATGCTGAGACTGCCTGCAAGGATGCCATTTATCTTGATGGCAGGGTGCTGTGCTCATCTATTCCCTGAAAACCAGGCTGACACTTGCTCCCTGTAAGCCACCAAAGAGCATGCAGATGACATGCTAGCAGCTTCAATCACTACTGATGGGGAATGGCAGCAACTGGAAGCAAAATGCTCAGTGTTTGTCACAGTCCTATTCCTGTCTGCTATCCCAGCATCCTTCCTCAAAAACCTTCATGTATCAAGCAGTGAAAAAGGGATACCAGCCTAATTCTTGCCTGCATGTTGTACTGAGGTTCCCCATTTTTTTAGATGGCAGCTGAAGATGGAGTCTTGCAGGCTCCAGCCCTCATACCCAACCACCCTCTCCAAGAGGCTGCAATAGGATTGCCTGATAGAGGCAAACTCAATGTCCCCAACACATTCATGTGTCCCCTGAGTGGCATTGTGTGCCTTGGTGGCTTATTGAGGAGGTGATGCTAGAGGGCAGCACGGCACAGTCACACCAGGCCAGTGTTTGTACACTTTGCTAGGGTGAAAGGCCATGTCTAGCTCCCCAGGTTTTGCCCTCCTATGCTCAGCTTCAGCTTGTAACAATAAGTTTGAAACAGTACCAGCAGACTCCTGTTCTCTTCAGATAATATATGCTATGGTGATGGTGACAGCATCCCCAGTACTGCTGCCAGCTCCTTTCTGATTCTGCCCACATGGTTGTCCACTCCCCCAGCATTAAAAGAGGTGGTTCCTCTCCTTTCAGAACATCATGAAGTTTTGTCAACATTTGCTGCAAATAATAGCAAGGATCTTTTTGGCCAAAAGCATAATTAGTAGGTTCAGCTCACTTGAGCACATACTACTGTGTAAGAGTGTCTTCTGGGAAGAGTAACTTTTCCTGTCATTTCTTTTTTCAGATCTATGTCATTGACAGTGCAGATAGGAAGAGGTTTGAAGAAACAGGTCAGGTAAGTTACTTAAGCCCAGCTTCCTTTGAAGTAACTCAGTGCTTCTGAGTGCCCCTTGCTCACAAAAGTTAGGAAGAAGATTTTGTTGTTTATGAAGTAAATTTGCATTTCAATAGACTTGCCTTTCAACATCAATACAGATTATTTTGGTAGATGTGAAACAAGGAAAATAGGTAGCCTAATTCTGTTTAAATAGAACACTGTTCATTAAAGTTATACAATAATAGCAAATGGAGCCTAATACTGAAAGCACAAACTTCTCTAAGTCCTTTAAACCTTGCCAAACCAAGACCCTGAGGAATCCTATTTTCTTATTTACGAAGCTGAAATGGAAATCATATTGACTTGATTGTCTTTTGGATGTAATTGTAAAAAAAGCTAAGAACTTTCTAACTAATACTGGCCAGAAAATAAGATTTCCGTTTTACAAAGTTCTGATGTTTTGTAACATTTTTTGTTTTAGGTTGGAACAAAAATAGGGCTTTTAAACTTTGTTGTGTAAAATTCTGAAAGTGACAGTGTCCCAAAATAGCTAGCAATATATTTACCCCATAGAAATGGGAGATGTAGATTAAAGCCTTCTGTTCTGCCTGATTTGAAGGAGATACTTGATCTTTTGCCTCTCAAGTCTCATGGAAACACCCCAACAGCAGAACTGTTGGTTGTTCTAGGGGTGGGGGAATCTTTGCTGGAGCTATTTAATTTTATATCAGTAATTAAATATTCATTGGGCAAAAGAGATGGAAAGGAAGCAGCAGCTTAGATCACTTGCCTGAGTCAGGCGGAGCCAACCTAAACCCCTCCTCATATTTCCGCAAACACTTTTGGTTTCAATAAATCAGCCATGTCAGATGAAAGACCTATTTTGTTGAAAAATTCCCAGCCAGTTCTGTTTATAACTCCATCCTCTCATCCTGGCTTCCAAACCAAACATTTCTCTTGGGGGGATGGAGTTGTATTTCCACTGCAGTTTAGCATCTCCCTGACTGCACTTGTTTAATCCAGAAGTTTCTATTCAGTGGATAAAAGATGTTAGAACGTTATCTGAGACCATGAGACCTTTCCAGCTAAATAAGGAGGCCACAAAAATCTCCCATACTCATCTGTCTGCAATGCCAGCAGTCCCTACAGGTTCATGTTCTGCTGAGTTTGTCATATGTTCCCATAGGGAAGTGACTTGAGACTGAGTGCTGGTTTCACATGAGACCATTGCACAACCTAGGCATGAAGTATTTCTACCACCATTGATCCACTGCAGATTCAGATTTGAGCTATTCAAAAATCTTTTTGAGTCAACCAGTTTTGAATGAACAAACCTATTTTTCAAGATGCCATCCAATGTCTGCATCTGGAGCCAAAATTCAGCTATTAAGGCTCATCTAGCTTGTCTTCAGTTAACCAATGCCTTCAAAAGTATCAGCACTTTCCTGTGGGAGGGAGATTTCCATTTTGGTGGGGGGGTGATGGGAGTGGGGAAGTCCTCTCCTTTTTAAATTGCAGTGATTAAGACTTCAAACAACCCCTTGAAACTCATGATTAGCAAAGATATCAGGGCCAGTGTCAATGGTTGCTCAGGTACAAATCAGGTCAGTCAGGCAGTAACTTAAGACGGATTCCTCATACTGCCAATTTACATGTTGTTTTTTTGCTGTTTCATCAGTTTTGGTCTCCTGGGATCAGAGACTGGTAAAACACAGAGTTGTAGCCTTTAAGGCAACTGCTAATTTCAGACCAAAATGAAGATTTTTCTAACCTGTAATTGGAAGAAATAGCTTTTGAACCTTGGGCAGAGATGATTGTATACATTTTTGCTCTCTTATAATAAGATCTAGGTTTCACTGGAACACACTCTTCTAGCATTTGCCCTAAATATATTTCTAATTAGAGACAAGCATTGGTGGTTGAAGGTTTTCTTCCCTTCCCTCTCACCATCTTCCCCCCACCCCACTCCCTTGTAAATGATACAGGAGCTGGCTGAGCTTTTGGATGAAGAAAAGCTTAGCGGAGTCCCCGTGCTCATATTCGCTAACAAGCAGGATTTGCTGACGGCTGCCCCTGCATCGGAGATTGCCGAGGGACTGAACCTGCACACAATCCGGGACAGAGTCTGGCAGATCCAGTCTTGTTCAGCTCTTTCGGGAGAGGGAGTACAGGTGAGGCCCTGCAGAAGGCTTGCTGTGCCAGCAGGCCATCTGTAAGAGATTGTTGATCTGCAGGGTGGGGCTGGAGCAGCCTCACCGATGAGGGTCAGCACAGCCGAAGCCTTGCAGTGCAAAATGTGGGGGTTGGGTGTCTTGGGTTCTGTGCAAGGGGAAGGGAGAGCTGGGGGCCCTTGGGCTCCCTTCATCCCTGGTAAAAGGGAGAGTGATTGCCTCCCCACCCAGGAGCCCTTAGCTGGCCCAGATGAAGACATTGATTTCTTTTAAAGAGACTGCTGTCAGGTTAATCATTCTCACAAAACAAATTGTCTTTTACTATTAACCCTTTGACTGGTACGAGTGTGCACTCTAGAAATCTGATTTACCTTTGCTACTGATGTCATTTGGCATTTTACTAAACCCAGGCACCAGGGAGAAAAACAGATCAATTTTTCTGATGCAGAGAAATGCAAGAGTTGCACATGGAGCAACAACCACTTCTAGTGTCAGCACGTGGGGCAGCAAAAACACACCGAGGGGCCTGCACTGTGTCCCTGTGCTGAACTGTAACAGTTGTGTCTTGGGCTCCTATGCTGTAGTCAGTTCCTGCAGTATAGTAGCTCTTTGTAATGTAAATGGGACCTAGGTTTGTTTATTTCACTCTTAGATTTTCCTGAATTAATGAGGTATTTGCAAAGCTCGAAATCTGAGTACTCCCTTCACTGATATTTAAAGAAACAGAATGGTGAAGACATTTATCTTCACTGCAGTTTCAGTAAAACCTTATTTGCAGATGCTAGAGAGCAGTTCAGGATAGTGAGATCTCAAGCTGAGTATGAAGAGTCACAGAAGCAGCCCTCCATGCTGAGTGGGCAGTAAAATGGCAGATGAAATTCAGCCTTGACAAGTGCAAAATAATGCACATGAGAAACAACAATCCTAATTATACGACGATGGACTCAAAATTAGCTGCCATTACTCAGAAGCAGATCCTTGGGAACAGAGCTCATCCAAGGCCAGAGAGGAAAATTCAAACACTGGACAATTACAAGAAAGCAAAGAAGAAACATCTTTTCTAGCAGGTTAAAGTCATCATGAGCCCATACCTTGAACATGACCTCAATTTCTGTCTCTGCCATATTTACAAAGGTTTTAGTAGTAATAGTAGAATCATAAAGTCCAACAAAAAATTAGGTAGAAGGGTCTTCAGAAGATCTTCAGGCCAGCTTCAGTTTAAAGCAGGGATAGCTGTGAGTCTAGAGGAGGTTGCTGAGAGTCTTTTCCAGTCAAGTTATAAGTATCTCTAAGCATGTAAATTCCACATCCTCTCTAGGTAGCCTCTTCTAGGCTCTTAACTACCCTAATCAAAAACAAATATGGTCCACATATCTACTTAGAATTAGGAGAGATTTGAGTATCCTCTGTCAGGAGTGATCAGCAGCACAGAATGGTATCTGTATACAGGGATAATAAATTAGGACTAGCAGTTTGTAAGAGTGAGGACAGAGAGTGGGAACATCTTCAGGATTTATAAAATAAAGTATAAAAATATCAGATAGACTGTATGCTATTTTTACATTGCTAGAGGAAGAGTGTTCCTAATGAAATAATCAGAAAATGGTTTAAAAAAAAAATAAGTGCTTCTTTGCAAGTGGCATAATTAAATTCTGGATCTCATTGGCACAGGATGTTGGGGAGACCAAAGGTATCAGAAAAAAAATGGTATCAGAAAAATACTTAAATGAATTTCTGAAGAAGGGATGTGCAAGCAATCACTTACAAGTAAGATCTGCAGGCAGCTTTTGACTGAGGAACAGCTTGGGCCATGAACTGGGAGTGAAGAACAGAGTAAGGCAAATCCTGTTCCTACATGGTCTTTCCCCTGGCATCCAGAAAGAGAATGCTGGTCTGGATGAACCATTGGTCTGACCTAGTACAGCAGTTCTGATTTAAAATTCTCAACCTGGTTTTTAGACCTGAATGTAGTAGGTGGTGTTCTCTAAAGGGCCTGTAGTTAGCTAAGCTACAAATTCAGCTACACTGTAGCCAGTGTTGTAAAGGGCTTCAGCGCTAATCTCTGCTCTGAAGTTTCCAGTCCAAAGAAATCTGACCAGGAAAACGAGGCTGCGGTTGACAGGGTTTCAGGCAAACATAGGTCACCTTCCTACCCCCTTCGGGCCCTTCTAGGTTTTGGAAGTCCAAGGGAGTTCTCCAGCTGCAAAGGGGCAGTAAAGAGACAGATGAAATTCAGAGATCCAGAGATGTGTGTTGGATGTGGAAGAAGTAAATGATACAAAGTGTCACTTTTTGTTCTTGAGCTTTGAAATATGCTTCCTTCTCAGGCAGATTTGTGGGCTCCCTGGAGTGGGCTGCACACTTCTCCACTGGCAGCACCTTCTTACTGTGCCTCCTCCCTGAAGCACAGCACAACCCTAATCATCCAGTAATGCAAAATACTCAGCCCAATATCCTCTGCCAGGGAAATGAAATCTGCTTCTGCATTCACTTCCAGAAAACAGAAGACCAGAACTAAATAAAAGTATTTGCAGGCCTATGTATTTTGTTCATCGTGCTTATCTAGTCAAATTAGTTTAGATGCAGGCCAGATAACATCCCGCTTTGTTGTAGTTGGTCTCATTGCCCTAAATACTGCAGCTTATTCCATAAATGATTATTGCAGAAAAGTCAGGAAGGTTGCAAACTCTCTATAGCTTATAGAAGAAGAGCCCCTACATTTCTCTTCACCCATAACTTCAGCTCTGTCAAATCAGACAGCAAGAATGTAAAGCACTCCCTTTCCTTGCAAATGGAACAAAATGTTTGGGGAGATGGCTTTTAAACTAAACCCAGATCAGCCTAGGAAAAAATGGTGTCTTCAGTCTTGAAACGTTAAGAAGAGTTCAAACTTTAGAAGAATCAAAGAACTTGTTTAAAGAGTGAGATTAGGAAAGTTGTTTTTGAGGATTGTGGTACACCAGGGCCACAGGTACCAGAGGCTCAGAACAGGAGCTCTCCATGTGGTTAAATCTCAGGTCACTGCTTTAAGGACTTTGTTGAGAAATGACAATGAGTGGCAGCAAAATAAATGGAGATGGGGAAGCATCAGGTGTTCAGAATGAAAGCCAAGGCATGCCAACCATCGCAGGTGATGGAATGTATTAGCTGGAGTAGAATTGGAGACATTGCTGACGGATCTTGCAAGGAAGAGTGGTGGCATATCTTGTGCTGAGCACATGGAGGAACAGAGTTCATATGGGAAGATGTTTGTGATAGCTTGAAAGAAGAGCAATGAGCAAAAATAAATAATGCTGATACATGAAGGAGAAAGTTTGAAGGTCATTTAATTAGTTTAGCAGCTAGCACCATCGTGTATAGAACTGGGTAGTTAAGACTGGGGATTTCAAGGTTAATGAGATTAGATTATGGTTAATAGAATGATATAAATTTAGAGAATTTAACTATTATTTGAAATAGGTTATTTAATAAAACTGTTAATTAAGGGGGGAATCCATATAGTCATCTTCCCTTTTTAAATTAACCATTAGAGACTCTGGAAAAGGGGCCTAGCAGTGTCCTGAGCAGGCTCAGAAGAGAGGTGACTGGGTTAACTGGAAACTCCATGTAGTGTCTCTAGATGCCAGCTGGCAGCCCCTGTTATGCCAGCTGAAGACTTCATTACCTCCTGACTGTAACTGTGGGCAGCACTTGTCTTGTTAATCAGACTTCATGGTGCCATCGAGGCTTTTTCAAGCAAAATGTCTGCTTGGGTCTGATCTTATCCTCAGCCCCAGTTAAAAAGCAGGAAAGCCTTTTCTCCTTGCCACAGCCAGCTGGGCTCTGCTGCTGGAATGGAGTACTGACCAGCCTACACCGAGACCTCAGCAAGTGAGGGAGGTGATTACTGATAACAGCAGAGGAACACAAGGGAACTGTTGCCTCACAGTCTCTCTCTCGTGCCACGTAGGCTCTCGTGGGGTATTTGTGACCAGATCTCAAATTGTAGCCCTTGGTGTGCAAAAGCTGTGTACATTCCACCCTGGCCAGCCAGGGCTGGTGTGAAAGCAAACAGGACCCCTCTGCTTTCCTGCCTCCTCTCTTGCTGAGGTGTTATTTAGGGGCCAGGGTGTGATATTAAATATGACTCAAGGCTTGGGACCGATGTGTGCTCTGCAGCTTGTTTGTTGTCTGAAGCAAGATTCTCCAATCAAGGCAGCAGGAGTTCAGCCTGCCCCAAGGAGCTGTCCTCCAGAATGATGATGCAGCGTATTGTGTCCGGAGTCTCCCAAACATAATGACCGTCTGGAGACCATTAAAAGCCAGTGAAACTGAGAGTAGCCACTAAACTTTTCCAGTTTATGCCAGAGCCCATCTGGCCCAAAGGACTGTGGGAAGGGCTGAGCCTCTGTCTCTTTCCTGGCTGTTTCAACCTAGTTGAGAATGAAGCCCGAGACCTAAGTTATGTCTATGCTGCAATTCAACACTTTCATAAGGTCAAGATTCAGAGCAGGACCATCCCTGGTGGGTACCACATACCAGTGTGGTATCTGCAGAGCTTAGTTTAGTCTTAGCCAGGAAAGGCTGGATGGGGTTCTCCCACATCTTAACAAGGTTCTGGAGCTATTTGTAAATATGATTTATAACCAGTTTTGATGACTGCAACTCTCTGGGATAGGCAGAGCCTGTGCATGTTGAGGAAAAGCAACCATGTTTCCAGATTACAGGGCAGTGTCTTCTGATTTTTAAGTAGGGTAAGGAGGGAGTCTACAGGGATACAAGGTCTCGGTGGACAAGAAAATAAGCTTTCACCCAGGCAAAAACCAATGGATAATGTACTGGCAGGAGCCTGTAAGAGCCTGGCTGTGCAGAGGGAGAAGAAAGTAACAGTTAAAATAACGCATACCAAAAATGCTAGAGATTGAGAATTTTGCACTTGCCTGACCCAATTTGTTATGGCAGACAGAGGATTACATGAAAGGATTAAGCTTTTCTGTCCTTAAGGTCACATTAGGGGTCACAAGTTTGTGGCCTTGCCTGATCCCAGGCTTGCAGGGGAGCAGAAATCGCGAGGCTTTTTATGGGGTGGAAAGGACTTGTTCGCTGTGTTTGAAGTCAGATTACTTCACTCCCATAGCCACAAAGCTGATAATGCAGAGAATAAGCAAGCAGTGGGCTAATCTTAAGCAGGACTTTTTATTTCTCCCAGGGAAGGCTCTACCAGTACTTTCCCAAAGGGCGTTGGAGTACAACTCCCTTGGCACAATAGCAGATGGGACTGCAGCAAGGCGGGGTTGTGTGAGCAGCATTTCTCTGCAAGGAGCATTATCCTCTTCCCTGGGGTTCTCTCTCTGCTTTGGTAAAGTTTACTAGCTGCTTGTTAAGGAGCTAAGAGAGGCAAAGCTGAAAGATCTGAAATCTTTCCCTGGCTAAGTTTTCCCAGGGTTGACTTGAGGCTGGAATACTAATATTGTATCCGCCTCAGTCCTCAGAGTACCTGCCAATGTCTCTGTGTCTCAACAAAGCAGCACAAGGACATCTATCAAGATCTAAATGTTACTGTAGGGATTATACTTTCTTCACAGAACCATCTTTTAAACATGCAGATATAGGGACAGAGTGTGCAGGGACAAAGGATGACAACAGTTGACTCCTTGAGGACTTGACTCTTTCAAGCACTGTTTCCTCCTTCCCATGTGCCTTTCCCATAGCAGCTCTTTGTGTTTGTAGCAGCTTCCCTGGATTTCTTTATCTTGCCAATGCTCTGTCCTGCTTCACACCATAGGCAGAAAAACTGCAAATGTACCTTTTAGGTTTTTTTTGCTTTCCATTGCATTTGGTATTCTCCAAAGCATCTGGGGACACTGCAGAACAACACCCCCCCCTCAAAAAAAAAGTTGCACCAGAATCTGTAGATATAGCTGAGGAAGGCATCTCACATACACCTTTCTGATACAGCTGAACATGTTAATTTTCCCTTCATCACTGTCAGGCAGGGGGATATTTACAATTAAATGTGATTTTTCCTGTCAATTAACTCATGCCAGAAGAGAGTTTTTAAAATCTATTCCTGCTTTAAAAGTTTGGTGACCTACTTACGTATTTCAAGCGTGTTTGGAGTTCACCTTTCCTCTTGCATTTTGCTATGTCATTCTCTTGCCCTCGTTAAATGCTTCATGCAGCCAGGCTCCCAGCCATGGTAAATCCCATCATAAACTCTGCTTTATGACCCTCGCTGCGCTGGTGCTGCAATGGTCTGCCTTTCTCCTTGCCGAGCTCCCCAATGGCAGCAGGCAGTGTTTTAATCACTGTGAATTCAGGTTGTGGTCAGATTAGGTAGAAGATAGGATGCGTGTTTGTTGTTTTGCAGTGATGTATTGTTTCTGGGATTACTGTGCTGAATAGCAGAGGGTGTCAGCTGATATTTATTACTTTAAGCTGTCTCAGCTGTTCTGGTTCAGCAAATAAACCTACATTCAAAATGAATGAGGAGCTCTGCTTGCCTTGTATGCCATGATGTGTGCAAATGTGATTATTGCTTCCAAGGCAGGGGAAGCTGAAATCATTGTGGGAGCATTTTTAGTTATTTATTTATTTTTACTCTTTGCAGGCAATCATGCAGATTTCTAAAGCACACAATCAAGTCAAAGGCTTGACACCTCTCCTTCCAGCCCCATTGTTAAGCCCTGGCATTCCTCATGCTGGGAATCACTCGCTCCCTCTCTCTCTAAAGTGATAAGCTCTAAACCATCCTATTGATTGCTTAAGGCATTACATGTTTTACACCTAGGTTATCAGTGTTATTGAAAGGGGAAGACACAAAGCTACCAGGCCTTAAAATGAATCTACCACTCATCTTTTCCCATTTGCTCAGAGGATTTCAGACAATTTGTTTTACACTGATCTCTGCTGGGGAGATAAATAAATGAAACTGGAGGCACCAACCCTCCCCAAGGTTAGAGTTAGAAGTGTTATTAGTGTAGGCCTCATGTGCACCCCAGCACAAACTGGGCTCACTTATTCTTTATTTAACACAGCAACAAAGGCTGATTTCAAAAGTTGCTGCTCCCCTTCAGATAAGGAGTGTCACATAGCGCAGTTATCAAGGTGAATTGGTATTTTCAAGTGAGAACCTCTCTGCTTCTGATTAAGCCCTGAGGACTCCCTCTCTTCTCTCTTAACTCTTTAGCTCCCCTCTGACATGGCCACCACCTTTGTGGCTGAGGGACAACACAGAGGCACAGCAGTGAGTGTCAGCTCACGCAAAGGGCTTGCTGTACTCTGCCTTGGGCTACCTATCTTTGGAGAAGCTGAGGTCCTTGGCAGCCTTTTGGCAGTCTGGGAACAAGGGAATAGGAAATCAGCAACACTGCTACAATGGGGCTACCAGTGACATTTGCCCAAAAGCTCTGACCTTTCTAAGGGTCTAATTAAAGTTGTTGTGGTAGTTATACAAAAATGACCACTGAACATAATGCAGTGAAATCCCTCAACTCTGAACTCTGAGGTGATATTTGCCTGACTTCCAAACACAAAGATGTGCTGCTTCTCTCCCATCCCCAAAACCCTACCTTTTGCCTTCAGCCTCCCTATCTGCAGAGTTACCTTGTAGACAGGATAGAGGTAAGGGATTTGCTGGGACACAAATATGAGGAGACTGTGCATCTTGCACTCCATTGTGCACATCTCCTAATGGGTAAGTGCCAGGAGCCGATGAAGTGTTGCTTTGGCTTTCAATGGCATATCCCATTCTGGGATCTCAGCAATAAACTCACAAATCGGGTATTCACAGCACAAGTGTTGCTGTCCTGCTTGCACTGGCCAGAGAGGTCACCACACATTTTTACAGAGATACCTTAAGGAGTAAATCAGCCT